CACTTTCTGTATTTGAATGAGTGAAATAATCCATTCTATTTAATCTCATAAGTCTTGTGCGAATCGATAAAGAATCTTACAGATACATTGTTGCCGGTTGATATTTCTTCACTAAGTGGAGACTGCAATAGAATGAATCAGAGATATATTCAATTAATCAAGAATATTAGAATAATGTTTTCATCTTACTTGCTCAATGAGCCGATTTCCAAGACCGGAGGACTTGTTTGAGGACATAGGATCTCAGCGAATGATTCACAACTGTTTCTTTCAAATTAATTCAATACTTTATCTAGGAAAAAAAGTAGACAATTGAAGTTATATAAGTCATATGAATTTGAATATGTAAAATGGAAATAAGTGGAAGTCAATTAATCATAATCAACTTGCATGATCAAAACATCTTAGTATCGTATAAATGTGAAAGAAGTAAAAAATACCAGTTGGTTACATGAAGTATATCAATATTTAACAAAGATAAGATTGTTTGCATCTAATCGAATACTTAAGCACATGAAACAAAATATATGATATGAAGAAAAAAGATCCAAAGTAAATTATTGACATCTTTATAACTGAAAATATTACTCTTGTAGAACACCTTTTCATTCTGTAAATGTTCTACATTACCAGTCATTTTGTTACTAACTCACTCTCTGAAAAACAAAATCAAAAAGCCTATAAATCAACATAAACGGTTGTAAATGTAGTAGATTATCTTGAATGACAAGACCGATTAAGATCCTTAACGACATAATGATTTCAACTAAAAAAAAAAGAATAGTTCTGAGATAAAATATAAACAATATTAACGCATAGTTTTGTTATTTTTTTTGTTCACATTGACTTCACACATGAGTGTGCGAAAAGCTGTATGTATTATTTGAAGAAATAAATATAACGTTGACGTATGAGAAAATTCATTATCTTTTGATTCATATGAGCACAGTTACTTTTCTTAAATAAATTTTTCAAGTCAGAAATTCGAACATGCCGATTTTGTGTAGATCTGACTTGATCATGATGCAATCTTAATTCAATTATTAATCTTCTGATCTTTTTCATTCAATGGAAAAAAGAAACTTGCTTATCAATGCTATTTTCATAATATATTTATTCAAATTTCGTATAATAAATTTAAACTTTTTTTTCGGTATACAATCATTATTATCGTTTCACAACTAGAAAATATAAATATTTAAATCAACAAACAACACACATAAGACTATGTATTTACAAATTTTTTTATCAGTTTTGATTTCATTATGATCATCCAGTAGCAAATAATATTTTAACATTAGTATTTTCTTTATCGTTATTATTAAATTCTTTTAAATACCATTGTTTCTTTTTTGTTAAAAGATTTTTCCAAAATCCATGATAAAGAAGAATCATATTAAGATAAAGTCGTTCATCATTACTCATTATTCGTTTTGTTTTTGTTTCAGTTGGAATCCAAATAATTTGTCGATCAAATTTTGAATAAATAAGACAAGGAATATTATTATTAACAATTCCACCTTGTCGTTTTGTTGCCATAATAAATTGTCGATCTAGATTATTTTTATAATTTAATTCAATTTCATTTAATGATGAAGTTTCAAATAATTGAACAAATTGTAAATTTAAATTTGAATTTTTATTTAAAAAAAGATGAAGTAAAACTTGAAGTGAAAGAAATGGGAATTCGTCAAATAGATTTCTATCTAAACTTTTTGCAGATGGTAAAACTTTTGATAAATCATTATTATGACCACGACGAATTCTATTCCATTCATAATTTGATTGAGCTTGTTCAATAACAACAATATAAGTATGATACATCGGTGAATTTCGATCACTATAAGAAATCATATATGATGATGGTACAATTAAATTTTGTCGAATATCATCAAGATTAATATAAATTTCATTATTTAATCGATTTTTAATAAATGGATAAATATATGAATCGATTTGAATAAAACCACCTGCTTCATCAACAATTGAAAGATCTAACTAAAAAGTAAAATTAAATTTCTCTTTAAAAAAAAAAAGCTGTTAGTGCAATCTCTACGGGATTTAAATGTGAGAAACACGATCGAGCTGCTGTTACGAATTACAGAGGAATTTGCTTTATTCTATTTATTTTGAGATATATTTTTTCACCATTCTTGTACTTGGTCCTGCAGAACTGTAATAAGAAAGTATGTAGTTCATATATAATCTTTGATTGTATCTTAACATCTATCATGGTTTGTGACGAAGGAAGAAATGTTGATAATGAAGAAAGTTTTCCAACTGATAAAATGCTTTTGAATCAAGACTATGTGTATTATATAGACCCAAATGAGCTATGAACAAGGCTCTCGATGTGGGGGGGGGGGGATGGGGTGGGCTAGTCCCCCCCACTTTGTCAGAGTGTCTGCCAAAATTTTGCTGTTACGTGTCTGCGAAATTTTGAATATGGTCTGGAAAATTTTTAAATAGACGCTGTTCGGGAGATCTTCGCAAGCTACCCCCCCCCCGCTTGGCCCCGATTTTGTTTTTGTGTACGGAACTTCTTCCGAGATTTGGCTCATCCCTGAAGGGGGATAGGGGAATCTTTCCAAAGCTCCCCCCCTCCCGTTGCGCCCGATCACGACTTTCTATGAAACACAGAAAGTGGCACGCTACCGCCCGCCCTTCGGTCATCAGTTTTCATGAAAAACTAGGACATTTTCGGTAGCTATTTCTAAAAAGCTTTCGTTAACAGACTGTCTGCGAAAGTTTATGAATAGTGTGAGCGCCCCCCCCCCCTCCACTCTCAAAAACAATCGAGAGCCTTGGCTATGAATATCATAAAAAGTGTTTGTAACCTCAGCTTATTGCTGCGAAGATACTGCACATTTACAGTAGTTTTACACATGAATACGGTAGCTTCCCATCAGGAATAATAGGAAAAAAACCTAATTTTCCAATTACGATTTGAAACTTTTCATAGAGAAAGATCTGAGTGAGAGTAGTTTATTGTGAAAGTTTTAGATCATTTGATTTTCTTCTATCCTGAAATACGAGTATGAAATCTGCTGGATTTACCTGAGTGATGTAAAAGACATGCTATTACCATAGTTTATATCTTAGGAGAGAAACAGATACAGCATCTAAAACATTCATAAAAACACATTTACAGCATTCATTTACAAAACTACCATAAATTTACAGTATCTCCATAGCCATAAGCTAATTTATTAGTTGAAGGACTTCCCTCGTAAGGTGTCTGCTACGGTCTATGATATTTCCATGGTTTGTCGGGAACATAAATATCTGCTCCATATGTTTCAATACTCCTGTTAGATTGTGTTTCAGAAAAAAAAAAATTAATTTATTACACGTTCTTCAAATAATGATCGTCGTTGAGCTATATTTGTTGATAAAATACATGTTGATTCCATATCTTGTTTTTCTGTTAATCGAGTTAATACTATTTTTTCATCTAATATCCATCGATCACGTGCTTCTTGACGTATTTTATTCAATGTCTCTTGCCATTCTTTACATTGTTCCATAGAATGAAGATCATTTTTAAAATTCAAATTTTTTGTAAGATTTACAATAGATAAAACACCATCAAGCATTGAAACACTTAATAATTGATAATTTGACCAATCTGAAGTATCATTTAACGAAGATAATTCATCATAATAAGTTTTCTCTGTATTTGTCATTTCAATAACAGGTAAATTTCGAATATCAACTAAATCATTTTTATGTGGAGGATGTGCAAAAATATTGAGAACATAAGAAAAACGAATATAAGGAATATAAAAAGTATCATTAAATAATCTATGTATAAAAGAAAATGAATTATTAGAAAATCAAATTGTATGTAACAAAGACTTACCGATAAATAATAGGCATTTGATGATCAAAAAAAGTAACAATACCATAATGTTTTTTCGTTGAAGGAAAATCAACAGCACGTATCTGTTGTTTTGAGTGAGCAAGTGAAGGAGTCGAATGAAAAATTGGAAAATCCAAAATATCTTTTTGATATTCATTCATTGAATTCATACATTTCATATCATTATTAAAAAAATCAAAACCATCATCAAAATCCATGATTATCTTTTTTTTATTAACTAAAAAACAAAAAAACAAATCTATATGTTTGAAATTATTTTAATAATTCAATAATAATAAAATGAAAAATATTATTTATCAATAGATATTTTCATTAAACATTCATGTCGAATAAAATTTAAACATTGATATCTCGAATACATTTTTCCATGTACACGACTGATCTAATATGAAAGAAAAACAAAACTAACCACGAACATATATATATATACGACGATAGAATTGATGATTCACATGAAATTCTTTTTTGTTTTCACTTAAACCTTTACTACAGATGTTGCTCATCATCAAATAAAATATATATGAGAAAAAATTTAATTTATTAAAAATATTCTAAAAAATATATAATAAGTAAGAATATACATCATATCATCTTTTCAACATATTGACTGAATTCTGATGTTGTAGTTGGCTAGAAATTAGATGTTTCAATTTATTTAATGTATTCAATTATTAGATTCTCTGAATAAAAATTATACTAATATTCAATTGAAAAACGATTTCATGAAAATATTTCTGTTTTTTTTTAAAGTAACTTGAGTTAATAGATAGATTAAGGATAAAGAAAAAAAGCATATCAATAAATGACTTAAGGAACATTTTATAGGCAACTAACGACAACTACTGGTGAATTTTAGCAGCATACTGACCATGGTATTATATGGATTAAAATGATATCATGCTTTCATTTCATATAATGGACAATACTAGTAAAACCGTTAATATTGATGTTTTGAGATGTGTCTTTACACATCGAAATCATGCTGATTTAATGTATTTAAGAAAACACTATAGGCACATAAGGACTCCAAATAAAATGACCTAATTTTCAATGCCGTCACTCTGATTTGTTGTATTCAACATTTTTTTTTTTTGTTTAATTTTTCTAGATATAAATTATGCCTCAAAAATTTCGTTGTGGTCGGTTAATATTACATAAAAATGGAGGAGTGAGAAAACTCCATCTTTCACATGGTGGTGGTACTCGTGATTGTAAATTGAGTCATATTGATATGGGTTTTGATCAAATTCATGATCAACTTCGAGATATTTTCTCATTAAGTAAATATAAATGAATATAATTTTGATAATTTTTATTTTCATTTTTCAATTTATATTATAGATGAAACTAATCGTGTTTCAACATTATATGATTTTCAACGTAAAAAATTAGATACTCAACGATATCAAGATTTTTATGATTATATCAATAAAAATGGTTTAAAATTTAATGCTACTTTATTATATCTATGTACACCAGCAGGTTAAATAGGAATATTTATTTTGATAATGATTTTTGTTTTTTTTTTTAAAACAGTAAATGAACGTACTGCTCATTCAACATCACCTAAACAAACAAGAACAACAACACAATCAATACAAAATCAACCTCAAGTACAAAAAAAGTAAAACAAAGAAATTTAATAATTAATTAATTAATTAAAAGTTAATTTGTTTCTTTTTTAATATAATAGAATTTCTCTTGTTGAAGCTGATTCTTCTACATCAATGGTTATGATTAAAATTGATGATAATGATGATTTACAACACAATCATATATCAACAAATGAGTATAGCATTGATTTCTTTTCTTTTTTTTTTTTTTTTAGATGAAAAAGTTTTCTTCTTCTTTCAGAAATGTAGGTCTCAATCCTATAGCTGAAACTCTTCGAACATTCTCATTATCATCATTTTCAAATTATTCATTTGAAAAATCATTAAATGGATTGGTTGATTATTTACGTCATTTAGTTACTCAATATAATCATGAAAATATATTTCTTAAATTATTTGAATTATTATGTGAATTACGAGTTCTTTCATCGATTAATTTAGATCGATTAAAACAGCAAATTGAATTAATAGATGAAAAACAAGAAAAAATTGATAATGAAATATTAGATAAAATTGAAAAATCATCTCGATCAGTTAAAGTATTAATAGAATTAAATAAAATTAAAATTTCTCATATTGATCAACATTCAATAATTATTGATTCATTCAATCAATTTTATCAAAATTTTAATGTAAGAATATGAATTATGAAATTTTTCATAGGTCTCTCATTATTTCAATCTCAAAAAAAAGTTTAATTTTTAAATCGATAATAAAAAGTCACCCAAAAATTTCGACTCTCGTGTGTAAATTAATGTTATCTATATGTATATATATATATATAAATGGTTAATTGTAATACACAGTTTTGTAGACAAAGATTAACGCCATAAATTGAAAAGAAAACAGTTCGAATTACATCTACATCATGAAAAGTTATGATTGTTTTATTAATTATGACACTAAACATTTTACATTTTATGATTTTTGCAAAAATATGCCCGTAACATCTGAAGTGCAATGTTGTTTTCTAAAGATTTTTATATGGTTCAATAGAGTTCAACAAGCTCTACGAGAAAATGAATATCACAAAAATTCTAAGCTTATTTCCAATATTAAATTTGGTCGAAGCTTTTGGACCATCGTTTAGTATTTTGAATAGATTCTACTAGTATTTATAGTAGTACTTATTAATAATCCGATTGGATTGAGTTTCAATTTCCTAAGATGAAAAATCATTCAAAGGTTTTCAGATATGTACGTACACGTTGCGAGAAAGAATCTACAACAATTCTTTACAATGTAGAATTGATCGTAATACTAAAAAATAAAATCGACCACGAAAACTGTGTTAGCACAATTCTTGTGGGATTAAAATGTGAAGCATGATATAGCTACTATTGCTAATCATAGAGAGGTCGTTTTATTCTATCTATTTTGTGTTATATTTCTTCACTATCCTATTATCTAATCCTACAGAAATGTAATAAGAAAGTAGTTCATATATTATAGCGAGATTTTACTGATATACGGACTTTGATCGTATATCAGCAACATCTGTGATAGTCTCAATATCTCTAATTCTAATTTCATTTTAATTATGATGCTCAATATGTTTCATATAATTATTGACTTTGTAGTAGCTATGATACTATTTTAGAGATGTGCAGTTTCGATGAAAATACTGATAGTGAGTCTACTGTCTACATTGTAGATCTGAACGAAATACTCGAGTATCAAGAACTCTAAAAGGTGGGAGAGGATAAAGCTGTTTGTTCGTTCCCAAAATGTTTTCAATTTTGTCTTGAAATTAATTTCAGTTGTGACTCTTAATATCATTGCAATGGTTTATTTCTCGCCAAGTTTTTATTGATCTCATAGAGGAGTATGGATGTGTCTCGAAAAATTGATCGAGAAGCATTGTAAAATAAACTTTTATTAATGTTATCGAGTGTCGCCACTGGATTGATTTCAACACAGAAAAAATGAAAGATTTTGAGAGCAGAAAAAAAGCACGGTCTTATCCATTTTCGTCGTTTTAGATAAAATGTATTGTATTAAAATGGTATCAGGTACCTATTTCCTTCATTCGAAGATGAAGCAAATAGCTGATTTCTTCTGCCCTCGATCTTATATAAAATGCTATAACTGTATTAAATACATATCCTGAAGTAATCTTAATCAAGAAAGTCCTTACTTTCCCAACTCTACTACACTGAATCGGTGTTCACTGAAGTATTAATACGCCCATATACTATGGATATGTCAGGTAAATCAATGAACATCAATCCAGTGTAGTCAATGTGAGTTTTCGGTGAACAATTTAGTGCAACTACATATCTCTAGACTATTTGAATTTGTCTGGTTATATATATTTTTGTAATAATGTTATAATATTCCAATTTTTTTTTAAACACATTTTAATCTTTAGACCTTACATGATCAATGGACTAATAATAAAAACAATAATAGACAAAGTGCACCTGTTTTAACATGTCACTTAACTGGTCGAACTCCGTCAATAAATCATTCAGTTGATCGAACATCATCAACAACTTATTCAACTGATCGAACCCAACCATCAAATCGTTCAATTAATCGAACACCATCAAAAAATCATCCAATCGATCAAACATCATCAACAACTTATTCAACTGATCGAACTCAACTATCAAATCGTTCAACTGATCGAACACCATCAAAGAATCACCCAATCGATCGAACATCATCAACAACTTATTCAACTGATCGAACCCAACTATCAAATCGTTCAACTGATCGAACACCATCAAAGAACCATCCAATCGATCGAACATCATCAACAACTTATTCAACTGATCGAACACCACCAAAAAAGCGTTCAATTGATCGACCATCATCAAGAAGCTTCTCGTCTTCATCACCTCGATCTCATTCTCGAAAACAATCACGAGTATTATCACCATCACCTCATCGATCATCATCATCGTCATATCGAAAATCAACAGAAGAAGATAAAGATAATCATTTTTCATTATTTAAAAATGTAAGTTTATATTAATCGAAAAGAAAAAAATAATAATAATTTCTTGATTTGTTTTCTATTTAGATTTTAAAATCACTTGATTATTTATCTAATGTCTTGGATCATTTACGTTTTACATCATTTTATTATCTCGTTAAATCAATTGTTGGTGAAATAAAATCTTGTCGATCAACTATCAATTTATCTGATTATCGATCATTACGTGATAGTGAACAATTAATAATCTCAATAGAACGTCGTCTTACGAAAAGAATGAATGATGAATATCATCATGCATCACCACATGGAATAGATCGTCAACTTGACAATTCATTTAATGCAATATTAGATTCAATTCGACAATTATTAATTTCTCTTCGTCTTTATCAATCACAAATAAAGAATAATAAACGACCAAGAACAACACGTTGGTCATCACCTAATATTTCATCATCTATTGAACATAATCATATTGAAAGTAAACCAATAATTGATTTAAATCAACAAGATATAAAAATTGATGATGATCAAAGTTCTGAAGCATCACATTCATCATTAGGTGATGAAATTTTAATGGAAGTAGCAAAGAATGCATACGAACATAGGCCAGATCGTTATAAATAAATTAAAACCTTTGTTTTTTTTTTGTTTTTGTGTTACTTATGTTCATATATTTTATTTCTTTTTGTTGTTTGGTTTTTCAACATTCAGATAAACGATGAAATAAAAAAGACTTTCATTTTCAGATAATGAATAATCTTCGTCGATTCATTTCAATAACTCAATTATTACGAACAATACAGTAAAATTATTTCTAAATTTTAGTTAGAAAATTATTAATAAATAAATTTTATTTTTTATTAGATCTAAATCATGGGTTTCTCGTCAATGCAATATGACTTCTACAGCGATCAATCAATCTTTATATAATTTTTCTGAAGACGAACGAATGCTTAAAGAAACAGGTTATTTATATTTGTTAATTATTTTATTAAATTAATATTAATTCGTTTGAATAGTTGCTCGATTTGGCAAAGAACATGTTGAACCTTATGTTCGTGAAATGGAAGAAGCAGGTGGATTTAAACCTGAATTAATGCAGGCAATTTTTGATCAAGGCGTGAGTAATTGTTTGTTTTTGTTTTTTTTTTTGCAATTCTATTTGATACATTCGTTCTGTAAAGTAGTGGTTGGGCATTGAAATCCCTACGGAATACGGAGGCAGTGGTTTCAATCTTTTTTCATCTATATTGGCAATTGAGGAAGGTTCAAAAATAGGTTAGAAAATCAAAAAAGTAAAAAATAAACATTATCTTTACAATAGATTAAATAAGTTTTTAAAAACTACGTTTTTTATTTTTCTTTTGTTCATTTAGACAGTGCTTTTGGAGGTATGAGTTAATTCATTAGTATTATTAATTAAAGTATAGTTTGATTGATTAAGGTTTAATTGATTTACAAAATACTGTTGTAAATCCTTTTTTTATTCAACTTGCTAATGATGCTCAAAAAGCCACTTATTTGCCTCGTTTAGCAAAAAATATGGTAATTTATTTGAATTTATTATTTTCTGTTTTTTCATTTCTAGTTAATGTCTATTGATGTTCCATTGGAATATGGTGGTTCAGGTCAAACATTTTTTTCAGTAGCTCTTGCCATTGAAGAAATATCAAAAATTGATCCAAGCGTGGGATTATTTATTGATCTATCAAATACTCTAATCAATCGACTTTTTTTAATTTATGGCACAGAAGAACAAAAAAGTCATTTCTTACCACGATTAACTAAAAATCTTGTGCTGTTCTTTTTTTTTAATTTTTTTAGTAAATTATAATGAAAATTTTTGATATGTTCTTCTGTTTATTTTAGGTTGGTAGTTTTTGTTTATCTGAACCAACATCTGGTAGTGATGCATTTAGTTTAAAAACAACAGCAAAAAAACAAGGTGATTATTATATATTAAATGGAACAAAAATGTGGATATCCAATGCAGAAATTAGTGGAGTATATCTTGTTATGGCAAATTTAAATCCACAAGCTGTAAAGAAAAAAAGACGATAAAGATTTATTTGAAATATTATATTGTTCGGTTTTTTTTTTCTTTAGAAACATAAAGGCATTTCAACATTTATTGTTGATCGTGATACAGAAGGTTTACGTATTGGAAAACGAGAAAAAAAACTTGGCTTAAAAGCATCATCAACATGTATGGTTCATTTTGATGATTGTAAAGTATGTATCAACAACAGTCATCTGTAGATATATAATTGATTAAAGATATATTATCTGTTCTATAGGAAACGACGATAGTTAGGAGATAAAAAAAAAAAGCTTATTATACAGATCTCTAATCTACAATCAAAGTAAGAGCACATGTATAGTAAGATTCTTTATAGATTATAGACGATAGAATATTTTGAATCTGGGATAAGCTAAACAATCTTTATAAAATTCCTATCGGGAAGTTAAGAATAAGGAAGAGGAGGGGGGTGACGGCACTAGCGGCCACCTATATTCTCTCTCCTTTTCCTTCTATAGTCTTTCCTTGATGGTTCTACTTTTTATTTTGCCTTCTTTATCGCGCTTTTTCTCTCTCTTCTGGTTATTATTCTTCTTTATTCATTTTCTTAGTCAGTAGCTTTACTACTACTAGTTTCTTCTTATCTTTCAACACACGTAGCTTCTTCATTTATTTCCATCTTATTGACTTATTTCTATTATACACTCACTTCCATCTTGACTGCTACCTTTCGGTCAATCCTTTATTGACCCGTCTACATTATTCTTTGGTTTTTGCTTTTCTTTCGTCAATTATCATCGTTCTACTCGTTCATCATTTAACAACATATATTTGGTGAAGCTTCATTCATCTGCAACTCATTTCATTTTTCAACTTCATCAAGTGCCAACCCTACTGTGGCACCTGGAATTGCAGCTTGTTGGTGCTTCACAGGAGGAGGGAACAAATCATTTTATGGCATTCAGATGAAATACAATTAGTACTTCTTATTTCCACCTCACATTTTGCATGGAAAAAAGTGTATTTGAAGGGTATCTCGTTCTTCTTTCTTGAATATTTCTAGTTCTCGAAGATGGCACAACTGATCAAGCGGAAATTTTTACCACAGATAGGGGCACAAAAAATAAGGAGACACATGTTTGAGGAAAAAAATTTTGTAGTGGATTATTGCTGGGAAACCTTGGTTTTTCATAGAGCCGCATGTTACTTGCTTATGATTCTCATTAAATTTTATTCGATTTGGCTGAAAAGTTTTTGGAGACATCCAAGACTATATCTCAGAGGTAATTTTAAGCTTTCCCAAAAATCTCACCCTTTTTTTTATGAGAGAAATAAGTAAAGTTTCGGAGCCATAATCGAAAACGAAAATGGTCGATTCTAGCTTTAGAGAATAATTTCAAATATCCGTAGTAAGAATTTCAGCCCGATTGAACAAAGCTAGATGGAGATCGTAGATTATCAAGATACCGCTCTATGAAAAATTAGAATTTCTCGATCAAAATTTCAGCTCGATCGATTGTATCGTCTTCAAAAGCCAGAAATAGTCAAAAAAAAAGAGGGAAAATGCCATTAATTAATCTCAACTCTCGAAAGAAAAGTTTTCGATCTACTTCACCGAAAAACAGAATTATGATAAAGTAGCAGTGCTCATAAAGACAAAACGAACTCCATTATAGGTTTGCTCACTTTGCTAAAAATATTTGTTAGACACGCAAGCTTAACAAGTGAAGATGAAGAAAACTTTCAGCAACTGGTAATTTATCTAACTCGAGTTTCTCGTACAATTCTTCTTCATTTTTAATAAAAGAATACTAAGATTAAGAAACAAATATTTGAGTCTATTCAAGTCTGTTGGCTTTGTCGTCATTGATATAGATTGAATACTTTGAATCATATTGTGGTTTATGTAAAATTGCAAAAATCTAATTTAATGAGTATTTACTTTTATTGGGAATCTTGTTCTTTATTCTTGATGATATTGTAGTTTTTTAGCTGATCAAGAAATAAACTAAAGTTAAATTGTTATTATAATTAAAATTTAAACTAAACCAAAAAATTTTTATTTTCAATTTATTCCTTTTATTTCAAATACTTATCATCTTCATAATAAAAGTCTTCGTATCAGTAGATCTCTTCACAGTAGAAAATTTCTTGTCTAATTATTTAATTAATTAAAATAATGTAACTTTAATCAATATATTTAAATGAAAATATGTCTACTTTTTCGGATTCTCAGAGGAAAAAATCAATGAATTCTGTATCTTTTTAATCTTGAAAAATGTGTTTAACTATTAAGGATTACTTATAGAACATTTATTCGCTTAGACATAATAGAATGGCAAGGACCATCTATTAGAGAACATGAATTAGAGGTTTCATTATATATACATCTATGCTTTTTCAATTATTATGTATTTTTATTTTATTCGTGCTAATAAGAAATAAAGTGGCATATTGCATTGTAACTATGATTTAAATAGTCATTACATAAATATCATTTTCTTTCTAAATGGCATAATTGATTTATTTACGTTCTGTTTCTCTTAAAGGGAAGAAAGATAAAAATATATGAGAGAAGGTCATTCGTTAGCGACGTGACAAAGTACGAATATACAAATAAAAAAAAAAAATCGTTCTTATAATCGAATGAGAACTTCGAAATCGATTTCAAATGGTACAAATCCTTCTTCAAAATTTCTAGATGATAATAAGACAAAATTTTTTTTTGTGTTCCGAGACTTGAAAGAATCTCTAGAAGACTGGTTTTTAAGGAAAAGTTTTTTGAAGTCTGATCTTATTAAAAGCTTTACCATTTGTGCCGTAGAACCTATTCTGAAATTTTCGGATTTGTTTCTTGTATGATTAGAGAAATATTTTTCCTAATTATTTTTTAATTGCTTAATAGTCATTTGAATATAACCAATATTTTTATATATATGTCTAAGCTAAAAGAACTTATTCAGAAAAATAACTCTTGTAAAGAATCAAAGTCAAATGGAAGATGGATATGTCCCACTTGCCCTAACATTATCCGTAAATGGATATTTTGATTGTTGTTTATACTATTATTTTTGTTTTTTCTTATTCATTTGCTTTACATATTGACATACTGATCTAAACTGTTTTAATTTAGCTAAGATTGTACCTATGTTTAGTACATATATGAGAAAAAAAAGTTCAATTCTGTTTAGAATTTAAATATTAAAAAATATTTTATTATTTTATTGTAGGTTCCAGCTAAAAATCTTCTTGGTAAAGAAGGTGAAGGCTATAAATATGCTATATCAATGCTTAACGAAGGTCGTATTGGTATTGCTGCTCAAGTTTGTAAATCTTATTTATAGCTTATATTTTACATTATTTATAATATATAGATGATTGGTATTTGTCAAGGTACATTTGACAAAACAATACCATATACCAAAGAACGTAAACAATTTGGTCAACGTATATTTGATTTTCAAGTCTGATGAATCATGTGTATCCGATTTGTTTTATTTGAAATTTTCTGATTTTAGGGTATGCAACATCAAATAGCTTCATTAGCTACAGAAATTGAAGCAGCTCGTCTTTTAACATATAATGCTGCTCGTTTACGTGATGCTAAATTACCATTTGTAAAAGAAGCAGCAATGGCTAAACTTTATGCATCAGAGGTTAGAAATATCATATATATATATATTTTTATTTTTTCCTGTATTGTATTCATCTATTTATAGTTAGCAGGTAAAGTAACCAGTAAATGGTATGTATCCTTTTTCTATTTTATCTATAAGTTTTTAATAATAATAATAAAAAAAACTATGAATTTTAATTATTATAGCATTGATTTTATGGGTGGTCTTGGATTTTCATGTGAATATCCACAAGAAAAATTTTTTCGTGACTGTAAAGTTGGTGAGTTAAATATTTGTTTGTTTTTTTTTTTTTTGAAAAATTTTTTTCTAATATTAAACAAATCTAATTTTAGGAACTATTTATGAAGGAACAAGTAATATGCAATTAAATACAATTGCCAAGTTTATTGACAGTGAATATTAATATTTTTTTTATTAGAGATTGTTATAATTTAAAATAAAATAGATTTAGAGAAGATAAATTGATTAATTAAGAGAAAAAAGTAATCATGTCTTATAAAATTAGTCATTAACGGGTAATTTGGTTTGATAATTTAATTTGGGTCCAGAAAAGTTTTGCTTCTGAGCCACACGACTTAAAGCAAAAATGCATGTCTAAAAGGAAAAAACAAAATTCATAAATATTAAGAGTTTAATTGATTAGACGAAAAAAACTTACTGTAACTTGTTGAATATTTTGTTTATCAAATAAATCAACGGCTTGAAATACTTCACTTGGATTAACACCATAGGCCTGAGCAGCATCTTGAAAAAAGGATATATTTTCACGTAATTTCATTGGACTACCAGTTGTATGAATTTTTGCTACTGAACCAGGTTTAAGTTTATTCATTAATCTTAAATAAACGATATGTATATATGTAGAATATTACAACATATTTTAATTTTACTTGCAAAGAACAATTCCATCATGAAGAGCTTCTTCATAATCATTGTTTGGAAATTTTTCACCAGTAACAGCTTCAATCCATTCTCGTGCTGCTTTTTCTTGTTCAGGATCTCGTTTGCAAGATATCTAATAAAATCAAATAATATGAATATTTTTTTATTCGAATATATTTTTGTTTTTATTCATACTTTGCCTTTAACTGCTCGATCTAATGCCATCTTGTGTATTAATTGTGTTGATTCAAGGAAGAAGTGCCCGCAAATATATCCTATATATACCATACCACAACCGTTCTACAATATCTATCAACAACGTGGGTGTCTTTTTTTTTTCGCCTGTCATCCTTAATCTTTTGTAAACCAGAAAGAAATAGATAACAAACCAATGGTTATTAACAGAGACTAGAAAATATGTAAAAATAAACAGAACAAATCGACATAAGAAAAAGTTATTTCCGGCCAACTGGCTTTGCTTGTGGCTAAAAAAGTAATCTTTTACTTAATATGGTTAGAAACGAAATAAGACAAGAAAATACATAGAAAAATATAATATTGTATGACAGTTGTTTTTTTTGTACACAAACATGTATTATTCATGTTGACTAGCGCGACAGTAACGAATGACATGTCATAAGAACCTTTCATTAAAAAGATAAATATGGAATAGACGAGAACATTTATATATAATGATGATAATTAAACTGATAGGATTAACTTTTAAGATTTAAATCTTTTTAGAACATCAAAAATTTTTCATTTATTTTGTAGAAATAAGATTTTGATGATGAAATTTGAATTTTTTTTTTTTTTTTATATGCAAAGCTAATAATGTGTCATCTTTATTCAATTGATCCCGATTGAGGACAATATTAAGTGTCCTCGAGGCATTCGTTTTATTTTCTTGTTATTTTATGTCTGATGATAAGCAACTATAGTGTGACCGTTGTCATCGTATTCAATGTTTTAAGTAGGTTTCTATTATATAGAGAATGAACTAATAAAAAAAAGAAAGCCATTTTATTTTATTTCAAGCAAACGAATGTACGATAAGTTTTATTATTCTTGTCCGTTAGACATATTTACAATACGTAGTTCAAATTATATGCTTTTTCTCTTTTTCTTTTTCTCTTGTGATGCCATGGGAATAGGCTCATGTTCAGTTGGCTCATACAAAACAAACATATGTCGATAATATAACAAGACTACAAAGATCGATCATTTTATCTTTCAAAAAAAAAAAAAAAAAAAAATAGAGAACAGAGCAAATGAAAAAAAAAGGTTTCATACGTCTGGCTACAGCACATATAGATATACAGAGAAGAAGGGGAGGAGGGAAAGAAAATTTATACAAGATGTAAGACAATATGAACTCTTTCTCTTTTATACTTTAGTTCTTGTTCTATGATTCGATAAGAAAAGAGAAAGAAAGAAAATATAGGTGTGCATAGTTGAGAAGAGAGAGAGAGAGAGAGAGAAGGTGGAATCGACATTTTTTTTTTATCCACCTGAGAACAAAAGCATACCTGAATCGCGTACACATACACACACACATACACATATCTGTAATAACATAATCAAAGATGGCTTGTTGTATTAATGTTACATGTTTATTCTGTACTCTATGTGTATTTATTGGTTTGGTTAGTCTTATACAACTTGGTTTGGGCATTTGTTTAACTTTTCTTCAACCGGATATAGCTACAATCAATCGTCTTGTTAAAACAGATCAATTTGATTCATATCTACTTTATATTTTATTTGTCTTTATTGGCTTAGGTTTAATTTCTTTGGTATTATCATTCTTTTCTATTTATAGTACTGTTCGAAGACTTAAATCATTATCATTATTTGTTACTGTTTTATGGGTGAGTTATTTTTTATTTTAATAAATTTCTATTTTTACCTAATTTCTTTTTCTTCATTCATTTTTTTTTTTTGTTAAAATAGGTATTTGCAGCAGCACTTAATATTGTTATGCTTATTGTATTATTTCTCTATTATTTTGCTATTCTTCCACAATTACGTCTTTTACTTTTACGTACACTTCAACAAACACCATTATCAACATCATATTTAATCGATCCTCTTCAATCAAAATATAATTGTTGTGGAATTAATGATAAAGATGATTATAAAAATCTTTCATTAGATCCATTTCCTTCATCATGTTGTCGTGTACCGAATTGTTGGCGTGATACAGATATTAATAATAATAATGGTTCAAATAGTACAATATCATTAATGCATACGAAAGGTTGTTATCCAGTTATTGATAAATATGTTACTATTGAATTATTAATACTTATGGGTACAGCTAGTTTTTGTGCTTTATTACAAGCATTAGCTATTATATTAATGTGTACTTTATATCAACGTTATAAAAAATTAAATGATGATGATCCAAAATTTATAATTAATCATCTAACTACTAATGGAAAATCAATGAATAATAGCAATGATAATATTCAAGGTTCATCAAAAACAATTGAAGAAACAGTTGAAATAACTCAAATTTAAATTGAAGAATATTTTCTTTTGTAAATAATTAATTATAACAGACTTTAGTATTAGAATTATGACTATTAATATTTGTGTGTGTGTATTGGTAGATTTTTTCATTTGTTTTTATTTGCTGTGTAGATAATATGTAACATTACATTCCTTGTTATAAATTTAAGAATATGTTTATAATAAATTATTTCATGTATTGAATAGTGATGAAAATTATATTAGTATCATATGAAAAAGAACGCGTGACACATAATGGATGGTCGATTTTTGTATTTCTTTTTTTTTTTTTATCATCTAGTACGTTTATTTTAAAAACAAAATTTACGTACTATACGATACGGCGTGAAAAGCTCTACAAGGTACATAAAAACCTTATATAATATATACATACTTTGTTTTCAAAATGGATCAAAATTCTGTGTGACCAATTTTCGACACTGCAAATATAATTATTTTTTAATAACCAATCAAATCCATTTTTTTTTTTATTTCATCGATGAAAGTCACTGATGAAAATTGTTTCTAATGAGAACTTGTTTATGCTTCATTGTCTACAAGAAGCAGACAAACAAAGAAACATAAATCAAAAGGATAAATATCCAACAAAAATTATGATGTGGTTAGAAAGTTCTGAAAATGATCTTAGGTCTCTAATTATATTTAAACTTGATCATATAAGATTTATATTGAAGTTGTTCTTTCACATGCACAAACCGAAGGTCAACGCCTACTTAATGACGATTTCATCTACCAACGGGTCAACATCACATCGCATACAAATCAGGAATCATTGGCATGATGTAAAGAGAATTTCCTGCTGTTCTTAAACAATAATAGCTGAGCCACCAAATAGTCCTAATATCAACATTCTAGATTATTCTGTATGAGACATTATCAGATGTAATGGAATAAAGTTAGTAACTATGATTCATTAATTGAAGAATCACTGATCTTATTCACAGCATTAAAAATTAGTTACACAGAATTCTGGTCCATTTTGAAAAACAAAGTGAATATATATTAAATTGTTCTTTGTAAATTGTAGAGCTTTTTTACTCTATATCTTATGGTATATTTTGTTTTTCAAATAAATGTACTATAGATGATAAATAAATAAAAGAAATACAAAAACCGACCATTCATTAGGGGTCACTTATTATTTTATCAATACTCAAATAATCGACAAAAACACTTGAGACCACTTATCAACGAATTAAGTGATAGGATCATAATTCAATATAATAAAACTTTTCTGTATCAAAATGTACAAAGAGAAGAATGTTGAAAAATTTAGTTTTTTTTTTTACTTTTACTTTTGCTCTATATTAAATTGAAATTATATTGAATATGTCGAAAAATAAATATCTCGAAGATAAATTTTCATACCAACATAAGAAGATCTTATTGTGAAGGTTAGAATATCAGAGTTTATAACAATACAATACATTTAGTTATTTGTCCTTCATTTCAATCTGTTTACTTAAGGTACATGAATCGATATAAGAGACAATTTACAATCATAGATAAAGATATTTTTTATTCGGCTTATATGTTAATGATGATTGATAAGAGTATAGTAATGAATATAACAAGAATAGAAGAAATATGACTCATTCGGTTCACTATATTTTAAAGTCAAACGATGACTTTTGATATAATTGTATGTGAGTGCTTAAAAGTGAAATAAATGTAATATAATAAAAGAAGAATTTTAAGAGTTTTTCCCTCCAAAAAAAGTCAATTTTCATTAGAAAAATTAAAATAATAGCCCGAGGTCTGATCTTTCATAAATAACATCATTTTTTATTTGATATCTCATGTTTGTGCCAAGATTTTTATTACCTTCTGCTTGAAAAATATGCTTTTTTCAGAAAAAGTGGCAAATCTTTTTCATTTTTCTTATGTTCAGGCTTTTCTGTTCGCACATCTCAAAATTCTCGAATGAACTTCATTGTAGCCGATTGCTCTTTTTTTGTTTAAAAGAGCATGCGAAGCTGCATTACCTGGTAGTGCTCAGTTTTTAAATTAAGTTTTATTATTATTATTATTATTATTATTATATAAAAAGGCACTTCTATAAATAAATAATCACTTTTTGAGAGTTTTTCGAAGTAGTGAACTTATCTTCTTTTTTCTCAGCATAAAAAGTAAGAATTCAAAAAAAACAAAAGCGCTCTCCCAAGCACTCTATAGTGTGATATACTCTTTCTCTCCACTAGAAGCCTAATATATCCTGAAATTTCATGTGATTAGAATGCATTTGATCCAAGATTGATTTTTGAGGAAGCGCTGAATCACATTACGTTCGATGTCTCATTTATCTAAAAACTAAGAATCATTAATGCACAATCAGTTGCAAGAATGTTCTGAGGTCGCCAAGATTGGATCGATTATTGAGAAAGTACAATTCACGATATTTGGAGATAGGAATCGGTGTACAAAAAAACGAAGAAAATCGTTCAGGTTCGCTGAGACAGAAAAGAACAGTTTCCAAGATTGAGAGATTACTCCCCGACCCTCCTCTCTCCGCTTGAGACACTCCTGATCAGTTGCATTATAAACATTACGAGTATTAATCACATTCAATATATTGTTTTCATACAGTAGAATCTATATCTACATTATTGAACAATACTTTTAATATTATCTATTCAAACGATAAACTTTATCCTTCGATGATTACATCACTTTGATAGATATTTTAGTTA